GTGGCCCAGAGAAATGAAGTCACTTACCTAAGGCCACACAACAGCAAGTCAGGGAAGGAGCAGCTTTGCCACCTGCCGGGAGCCAGGAACCAGCGTTCTTGTTGAAGGTGTGCCATTGATTCGCCCTGTGAACGTGGGTGCATTGAGAGCACCTGGAGTTTAGCTGAGCACTTGCTGCTTCTGGAAAAAGGTGCTGTTCTCCGCTCTGGCCGCCAGGAGGCACTGTCACCACACCTTGACTGCAAAGCTAGGCCTTGCCCTGCCCAGACCCGAGCTGGGCCCTCTCCTCCCTGCTCCCTCTGGCCTCTGAGTCAGGCCCCAGGACGGAGCCCCACAGCGGAGAGTCTGCAGCCCATAGAAACAATAGAAGCCCTCTTTGCCCTGGAGAGTCCTGCATTCATTCATATATTCAACAAATGTTGACTGGGCCTGCGATTTTTTTAGGAATGGAGGATACAATTTGACAGCAGTGAAGAAAACAAAATCCTGTTCTAGAGAGACAAAGAACACACAGCGTATAGTATGTCAGATGGAGCCCACTGTGGGGGTGGGGAGTGTCCTATACATTGAAGCAGGGGGGACAGGAGAGGCCTCAAGAGGAAGGTGATATTCTGCAAAGACCTGTGAGAGATGAGGCAGGGAGCTCAGCAGACCTGCAGGAAGAGCATTGCTGGCAGTGGGAACAGCAAGCATGAATGCTCTGAGGTTCAAAGAAAGGCGGGAGGGGTCAGTGGAAGAGGCGAGGGCACTAGGCTGCATGGAGTCCCAGGCTCAGGCTTTCCCAGCAGAGCAGCGATGATAAGGATCATGCCTTTGTTCACACAGCAAGCATTTCCTGACACCTCCCAGAGCCGGGCCTGCAGAGGAGTGGGGAAACTGCTGAGTCAGCCCCTGTCCCTGCCCTCAATGGGCTCCCTGTCTGCTGGAGAGGCGGGCACGGACACTGGCAAGGCAGGAGCCAGAGGGCTACGTGCCACCTGGAGGGTTAGGAAGGACACGAGAGCCCAGAGGTGGGGCGCCCAGCTCAGAACCGTGCGTCACGGTGCTTCCTGAAGGAAGTGGTGTTTACACCAGGACCCAGAAGATGAGTAAGAAGAGTGAGCCTGGGGGAGGGGGGAGGGGGACTCAGGGGCCGGGCAGGGGCGGGGTGGGCACCCGGGCAGGAAGGTCAGCCCTGCCCCAGATGGACATGGCACCGGAGCTGGTGGGGCTCCTGGAAGGGGTCCGAGCAGACCTGGGCCAGCTCCTAGGTCCACCAGGAGGAGCCTTTGGGGCCCTGTGCTGTCAGGGCAAGACTGGAGGGGCAGAAGAGGGGCGCAGGCAGCAGAGGACCCAGAGCTGAAGGGGGGTAACCCAAGGGTGTGGCAAGGTGGGAGCAGATATGGGGGCGTCTGGGGTAGATCAGAAGTTCCCAACCAAGAGTGGGTCTCCAGCCCAGGGTGTTACCTCTGCGTGTAAACCCAAGAAATGTCTCCTCTAAGCAGACGGAACAAAAATACAGGTGCTCCGCCCCAGGCAGGTGGCCGGAGCCTGCGGAGGAAGGAGGTGAACATGGAGGGCAGGAGAGGGGCTGCTGAGGCAGGAGGAGCTCATCATGGGGAGAGGTAGCTGACCACGACCCCTACGCACACACCAGGGACTCTTCATTCTTTTTGGAGGGGCAGTAGGCCTGAAGTCCAGCGTCCCCTCCCTGGGGTCAGAAGCTTTCTCCTCCTGCAGGCTTTGGAGAGTTGGCCCAGCCTCCATCTCTGTGTGGGAGACCACTGTCAGCCCTGAAGACGTGGAGGTGCTGGGTGCAGAGATGCTGCCTGATCTCACACGGCCCCTGCCCCGTGCTGAGCTCCAGACTGGACACCAGGGAGAGCAGTGAACCAGGTAGGCAAGGCCCTGCCCTCCTGAGGCCCAGTGAGAGAGACGTCTCTTACTCCCACGGATGTTCCTGAGAAACCATCAAGTGCCAGGGCGACAGGTAGAGCTGGTGAAGATCTCTGCCCCGTCAGAGTTGACGCTCTTGTTACTGGAGATGTGCTTGTCCTCAGAGTTAGGGTGAGAGAGGCAATACATAAAACATGAGGGATGCCCCACTGGGACAAGTGCCACAGAGAAATGCACAGCAACAATAAACAAAGAAGCAAACACAGAAAGTAATTATAGGTCAAAATGAGATCAGCAAGGAGCCAGCACAGGGTGTATAGTGTAATCCCAGTGACTCGGGAGGCTGAGGCAGAAGGATGGCAAGTTGGAGGCCAGCCTCAGCAAATCAGCAAGACTCTGTCCCAAATTCAAAAAGAGCTGGGGATGTAGCTCCGTAGTAGATTACCCTGGGTTCAATGCCCAGCACAAAAATAAAAATTAAAAAAGAAGAGGCAGAGGAAGAAGAAGAAAACCACCAAGGGCCTAGTTAGAGGAGAATGTCGACTCCAGAGATGATCTGAAGGTGACCTTCAAGCTGAGAGTTAAAGAATGATCACAGGCAGAGGGTGGGAAGTGTGTCCCAGGCAGAAGGAAGAGCAAAGACAAGGGCCCTGGGGTAGGAAGGTCCCCACCATGTTGAGAAAACCAAAGGGGTCAGGGGTGCGAGGGGCGTGCGTGAAGAAGGGTGGGGTTGGAAGGACAGGAAGCAGACGTGGCTGCCTTGGAGGCATCTGGTTCTAGGGAGTGGGGGCGATGCTTGGTGTGAGCTGTGGGCTGCCGGGTGGAGAGTGGCCTTGGCTGGGTGGAGGCTGGAGGTGGGGGTCCAGCTCCGAAGCAGCGAGACCAGTTTGGATGCTCTTGCACCTGTGCAGGTGAGAGGTAAGGGTGGCTTGGACGAGGGCGACCGAGAAGATGCATGTGGGTGGATTCTTCGTCGTCCATTTTGGAGCCAAGGTGACAGGAACTGCCTAAGTGGGCGGTGAGAGGACCACCCCCAGCTTTTGGCCTGAGCAGCTGAGCAGAGGAACAGGGGAGGCTCAGGGGCAGGTGGGGGACCATGGCTTGCGTGAAATAAACGGAAGCCAGTTGAGAGGGAGGGGATGGGGCAGGGACGCTGTCCCCACACATCAGGGGCACCCAGGTGTGCACGCAGAGGCTTCCTGGCACGTCGCAGACACAGGTGCAGACTCACACACCCCGTCATAGGTCGCCCAGAGAGAGTCTGAGTAATCGGAGCCCCGTGAGATCAGCAGCAGGGGTATCAGTCAGCCGGGCCTGGGTTCGAATCCAGCTGAGCAGGGTTGGGCTCCTGACCTCATTTCTCCTCATCTGTAAAACGGGTGTCTTTGTGGGCACCCCCCGCCCAGGGCTGGCAGGAGGACTGCGCCCCAGAGTGTGGTGGGCGCTAAAGCACTGCCAACCAAGAGCCCGTCGGGTCTGCAGGGAAGACGGCCTTCGCCGGCTCCCTGCACACCCAATCACACTGCATCGGGAACGCCACAAACAGGGCCCTGGCCCTCAACAGGACACAGGAGGCACCTTTCACCGCCAGGCCATCTCCACGGAAGTCCTGGCTGTGCCTCTTGCACGGCTGCTCCTGCCCAAGGCCTGGCTCCTGACTGAGCCCCACCCAGGATCCCCTCCCAAGCACTGAGCCCACGGGGTGCGGGGAAAGTGGAGATGGGGTGGGCATTCGGTGGCACTGGGAGTCCTCAGCCCAGGGGAAAGAGGGGCCCAGATCCCCAGCCCCGTCACCTCCATAGCAGAGACCACTCCCCCCGTCACGCCCCCCTCTACCTCCAGCCCCAGAAGGGCTCCACCAGAGACCACCAAGCCCCACGGCCGCAGCCTCCAGCTCCGGGTGCTGTGGGTGGCTCTGCTGTACCTGTTCTCCCCCAGGGGCGCCCGGCCCTCCCCAGGCAGCCCCCCACAAACCCCCTGTCTTCACTTCCTGGCCCCGAGGACCTCTCCTCCCTGCTCCCCTCCACTCCCCAGTCTCAGCATCCCCGCAGCCACCACTCCTGTCCTGCAGGTGACTTCTCCCTGCCCGTCCAGGCTGCTGGAGAGACCAAAACATCAACAAAAGCATCCACCTGCTGGACTGGCCCTCCAACAGGTGGTCGCCAGTTCCCCCTGGACACCTCCGCCATCGGCCTCCGGGACCCACCCACCCAGCTGCAGAAATCAGAAGCCCCCACCAAGGCCTGGCCTCCACTTCCTGCCACTTACCCACACCCACTAACCCCATCCGCCTTTTCCTCCTTCCTTCCTCGAACAATGGAAGTTCCTGGTCCAGGACTGACCGCACCCCCAGCCGGTTGCTCCATCTGCCCCTTTGTTCTAGGTGAAGAGCCCTCCGCCTGGGTTCGCACGGTGGAGTGGCTTAGCCTTGTGCAACCAGGGAAGGACCGACCAGCTGGGCTTCCCGGTCCCTAGGGCGGGGGTCAGAGGGTAGCTGCCTGCCAAGGGGAAGGATCGGGTGGGTGCATTAAAATCCTGTTGGACACACACGTAAGCATGCGGATGAAGCTGGCAGGTCCCGGGGACAGTACAGAGAAGTCCAGGGACAGTTGTGAGAGCTGTATGCTGCCTCCTGTCCTTTACAGCTGGGTGACCTTGGCCAAGGGACTTCCTCTCTCTCCTCCTCAGTCTCCCAGTCTGTAAAGTGGGGGCCAAGATAGAGCCTGCCGCACAGAGCCGGGACTTCTACGAGTCACTGCCTCCTCCTCCTGCTCCTTTGCAGCCACACTGGTCTCCTCGATGGTCCCCAAACCCGCCAGGCCCTCTCTACCTCAAGGCCTTTCCATTCACTTCTCCTTCTCATAAGCCCTTATAACTTGAAATATTATACTTACATTTCTCTTCTCTTTCTCCTAGAATACAAGGCAGGGGTGTTTTGTTTTGTTTTGGTGTATTTTGTCACTACTCTTTCCCCAGTGCCTAGAACCATGAGGGATAGGTACGTAGCAGGTGGTCAATAAATATTGGTTAAGAAGAGGGAGAAAAGAAAGACAAGTGGGAGAGAGAGAAAGAGGAAGGAAGAGAAACAGGAAAAGAGGGAGGGAGGCAGGTAATACCAGCAGAACAGAGCCAGGTGAGCGGAATGGGACCGTACATTCAAGAGAATATTCTCAGCCTTGAAAAGGAAGGGCATTTGAAAGATGCTGCAGCAGGGGTGAACCCCAGGACCTCGTGCTAAGAGACAGGCCAGACTCCAGGGGCCAACCTTGTGCGATTCTCATATGAGGCACCCAGGGGGTCAGGTTCGCAGGAACAGAAAGCGGGCGCAGGGGCTGGAGGTCAGAAAGGATGTGATTATTTAATGGGTGCAGCATGTGGCTGGTTGGTAGAAACGTTCTGAGGACGTGGACGCCCAGGACGGCGGCAGAACATAACCCTACTGAACTGCACTGAAGAAATGGTCAATTGGTAATTTTTCTGTACGTCTCACAACGATAAAAAATTAGGAATTTCTTAGAAGTTTAAATATCAACAACAGGACTTCACGCAGCTTCGGGACACCACTCTCCTGGTGTCTTCCCGGCTCTCCAGTCCCTCCTGGCTGGCTGGCCCGAAGCTGTGGGTCACGCGTGGCTCTGGTCCGCCAAGGACAGCAGGCAGGCGCTGTGCTCCACCTGCCTGTGGTCTGCGTAGGCGCCACACCCCAGTGCCCATCCTGACCGCTCTTCTCTCCCCACTCAGAATCGCGACACCCCTCACCCTGCGCCCTCAGCGGGCAGCCCCGGCCCCTGCTGCTTCTGTCCTCATCCTCCTGCCAAAGGCCCCGCCCACTCCCGCCACACACCACACCCGGGAGGACCCCGGAGGACCCGCATCCGTCTGCAGACCCTGGAGCCCTCTCCGTGGCTCTGGGGCTCCATCAGTCGCCTCCCGCACAGAGGACACTAGGAGTCTCCTGCTGCCCGGTCGTCCTATCCCATGGGGTGTCCAGCTCCTGGAGGGCAGGGACTGTGGCCTTCACTCATCAGGTATCTATGGAGCACCCATGTCATGGCAAACAAGATTCTGCCGAGCAGCCGAGGACAGTGGCAAGTGGATCCCCAGGAGTTTAGTCTGGAGGGAGAGGCTGGGGAACCTGGCAGTGACACGCCCAGCAGGGGAGGCCGGTCCTTGGGCCCCACCACAGTTAGCTGAGCTTCCTTGGAGGCTGCATCCCCAGAGGTCGCCCAGGGGTCACCAGGGCCTGCTGCTAAGGAATTCTATTTTGTCTTTAGCTCTCTGTTTTGAGATAATAAGGCCCTGTGTCCTCTATGTGAAGTGGCACCTACAGGACAGAATTCCAAGTGTCCTCCTGACTTCTTCCAATGGCGCTCAATACCAGAATCAGGAAATCTACTGCATACGTGTACGAATATGTGACAGCGAATCCTATCATTGTTTTCTGTAATGCACCAGGAAGTCAACCGTGGGTACCATATCGCTAACTGGACTACAGACTTTATTCCCCGTCCATTGTTAAAGTGCATCTTTGGTTGTGCGTGAACGAGCGTGCTCTCCTGTTGTCTTGTCACTTTATTGCCTGTGTAAGTTTGTGTAACCACCACCGCATCAAACCCAGAACCAGGTAGACTCCCAGGATCGTCTCTCTTCAGTGGGGGGCTTCTTCTCTCAATGCATCTCCCTCTCCAGGACTTTCAGGACCGTTCAGGGGGAACACAAACTCGCTGATACACACAGACACCAGACCCAGAGACCAGACAGGCCACGGCCCCACCCTGGGTCAGCCAGGGAGAGTGCAGGCAGGCAGCCTCCTGAGTCACTGCCTGCCTGGGCCTGGGGCTGGAGGCCAGAGACAAATTACAATCATTAGGGAATTTAAGAGGCTGGGGGAGGGGCTGAGGATGACAGGCCCCAGGATGCAGCCCCCAGGTTGGGCCAGCCTCCTCCCTCCACCTCCCCCATCCGGGTCTATGACCGTCTCTGG